GCTGCTCTGTCTGGCGTCCCATCCAGCTCATTGACTGGCTGCTACGATCTCAGTGGGACACAAGCCACAGCATCCCACTGAGCTCTTGGCAACTGGTGACATCAGCGAGCTGAGTGGGATGCCAGACCGAGTGCCACAGTTTGCTAAGAGCTCTTGGCAATCTGAGATACTGTGGCCACCCCTGCCGCCCTACCACCACCTGGCAGCTCCCCAATGAGATACCGCCTGAGGCAACCGCCCATTGTAGTGACAGCCCTGTGTCCAGCCTTTGACTGGCTCCTCAGATCTCTTCTGGACTCTCTACCAGAAAGCTCTGCCCTGGATATTACAGAGTCAGACAAGGACATCCCATCCATCCTGCTGTATTCTCTGTAATGTAAAGGAAAATACAAAGGTAAGAATAGGAACACTTGATGATACTTGTAGCAGAAGGGCAGAGCTGGGAACCCAGGTTCAGAAATGTCAGAGTTTGAGAACTCTATGAAGCCAATCAATGGTTAGACCTGCCACTGCTGACCAAAAACTAAACTGTGGTTGGGGTGTGGTTACTCTTTAATTTTCCTCTAAAGCAATAATAAAACCATGACTGTTCAAACGTCAGATGTTCATTTTTTTCTTGTGATATACAGAGGATTAATGTCTTTCATTTTCTATTTCAGATATTGGTGGAAGCACAGTTTGAGAAGGGGCCTCTAGAAGATAAGACATTCCATGTTAGAGAAGGAATTACAGCAAATGTAACTATTTATCAGGTAATATCATAACATGTTTTTCAGTCTCCGTATAATCATGTTCCAATTGTTCAGACTCCAGTTATTACTGGAAACTGGTCTTTGTGTTGCATACAGTGAGTACAGCTGGTCCACCCAAGCTTCTGCTTGATATCCAGCCATAGGTGTGGGGCAACATGCTACCCTGCTGTTTAAAGTGACATTAAACTCAGGAGTTAAATCCTAAAAATACATTCAAGTTCCTCAACTATTAACAAAATGTATCTTATTTGTGTATCACTCAGCCGTAGATCCTCAAATCATCTCTGAATTGGTGCTGACACTGTCCTTCCTTCTGGAGGGTGGCTACTTTGTTCACCATGATCCCTGTGTGTGTTGTAAAGTAGCCACAGCTCCAAGCTCGCTCCGATTATGGACTACAATCTCATGTTTAGTTTACTAATTTGTATTGAGATTGTAGCCCATCACAGGAGTGAGCTTGGAGTGGTGACTACTTTACATCACACACAGGGATCATGGTGAACAAAGTAGCCACCCTCCAGAAGGAAGGACAGTGTCAGCACCAATTCAGAGATGATTTAACTTGCTCTAGGGCCAGATTCACACTGTTGCCCTCCCTTGTGGTACATTACTGCACCTGCATTAATGAGCATTGTGTCACGTGTTACCGTCCATTGAGTTACGGCAGCCCATTCATTTTAAATGCTGCAAACACACCACAATGCAGCCAAAAACAGGCATGACCCTTTTTTTTAAATGTATCATTCCACAGCTCACAGTTTGTATGTTTTGGTGCATTGCAGTGTGAGTGCATTGTCCGTTACTGTTTAAGTCTGTTAGGGTGTAATTCAGAATGAATAGCGCTACAACACACCGGCAAAATTACGATGCTTGCACTTCCAGCTAGTAAAATTTTACTGGTATTTACCGTGAGATTCAAAATAAACCAGAAAACCAGGTGCAGACATAGGAAACAGGTGCAGACAGAAGACCAGCCAGAAGAGGAGAGGGGGGTAAATAATTCATTAAAATAATTATTATTTGTAGCCTAATGTTGTATAAAGTACTGTTGCAGCAATGCAGAATGGCACCCTCTATAGAGGACTACAAATCTCAGCAGTACTTTATACAGAAATGCTATTGTTATATAAAGTATTGCTGGTATGTGTAGTCCCCTATAGCCTGTGCCATTCTGCATTGCTGTAAATATTAGGGATGCACCGATATATCGGCCACCAAAAGATATCGGCCGGAAATGGCACTTTTGGCTAAATGCCGAAAGTGCCATTTTTCTGCTGATACAGCGGCGCCTCCCGCCTTTCTTTCCTCCCCACTGGGCGCTGCTCTGTGTCCCAGCGGGGAGGAGAGAAAGTGACAGCCGGCCAATCGTTTTGTTTGTGTTTTTTTTTGGGGGGGGGGCGGGCCCAAAAAAAAATCTTGCACCAGGGCCCTTTGTTCCTTAGGTCCGCCACTAGAAGGAGGCCATGTTGGTAGAGGCAGGGTTTTGCATCCTCCTGTCAGAGCTTCCAACATAAAAAACAGTGAACAGCACAGTAGTGACATCACCAAATCTCACTCCAAATCTCAGATTAGCAGTCACATGCAGCAGAGCCTTAGATCTCACACTGAAGATATATAGCAATGTGGTTGCAGGCTCAGGAGTGGCTAGGCACCCTCACATACCAGCAAGTACACATCTATATTTTAGGAGATATTTATGCCAAACGGTACATTTTGTAGGGTGCTACTTAGGTGCATTTAATGTTTCTAAATGTTTCCTATAACATAGCAAATCTTGACTTTTTGAGTTCAGGTGCACTTTAATATTCCCCTTTTATACTTATTTCTGTGTACTCTCCCCTGCCCCATTCACCTGCTAGAGCAAAATGAAATACCTAATACTTCTGGGTATGGGGGAGCACATAACCCTCTGTCATTCCTCCCACAACACAGATCTGGATACCTGCATTCCTTTATCTCAGGGAGACAAAGTGTGAAATCACCCCCCTTCCCCATGTTCCTTACCGAGCAAAACATGACCACTTACGCACTGGGAATATGTTTTTCCAACCATCTTTTTTTGAGAAAGATCATTCGGTGGTTGGATCACGCATGCACGGCGAGCTGACATCTAATGTATGTAGGTAGCTTTACTAGAACTCTCGCAGTGTTGGCAGTATGCCTTATCACCCTTTACTGACATGTACCGGCGGTTGCAAACTCTGCACGTAGCCAGGTTTTAGAAGTGAGATGACTAATACAAGGATTGGGATCTAACATCTCTTCTCCAAACTATAGGTATTAACTGTGACCCAAATTTACATAAAAGCCAACTCAGTAGTTTATGACTGTGAATGTTAAGTCACATTAACTCAGTACCATGCTCATTTATTGCCCCAGTAAAGGCTGGGTGTGCCAGGTACTTTGCTTGTATGTACAGGTCAACACTGTGCTGTGAAAGTTTTCTGAAAGATGAACTATAAAATTGCTATATTTGCTCACCTGTCCATACACTTCCTACCTTTGCTAACGTCATGATAAAGCTGAGACTTCTGGAAAGTTAATACATATTGTTTACATTTTATACAGCCAGGGCTCCAAATTACAAATCTCTTGTTAATAAAGGTGTGTGTGTATATATACATCCGGCCCCTGTGATACCCCTAGAAGAAAGGGGGGATTGGCCATCACTTGGACCGGAAAGCATGGACAGCAATGAAAACATTGTTAGCCAATGTAACCCTTCCTCCCTCTACTGTAAATGTGTTTTGGTTACCATTTGAAACATTTCCTATCATTTCTTGAGAAAGAGTGACAAGTCTCCCTAATAGGGCAAAGATGGCAGGACCTTTTATAGAAAAATAAAATACTAATTCCAGACTTTAATAGTGTCTGTTTTGGAGCTAATGGGCTTTGATTTGCTTTAAGTGAGATTTGCATTCCCATACAAGTATATTGGAATACAAAACCTGCTTGAAACTGGTTAAATGCAGGTCAGAAGAAGGATAAGCTGGATGTCAAATTTAACTTCAGTGAATTCTGAATGATCTCAAAAGTATCTACAACTAATGTCAAACTGACGCCATCAACACATGCCCAAATCCCATTGACACAAGCCCTTAAACTGGCTATGCACTTGTAGATTTTAGTACAAATGTACAAGCTAAAAATCTCATCATAACATTCCATAATGCCATCAATGACTTGTTGAATGTCATGAAATAATTGAATTTTCAGACAAAATTATATTGGTGAATGACCAGCTTCAGGAAGGTAATTATAGATACATTTCCCAACTTTTTCTTTCAGTATAAGGTGTCTTATGTAGATACTTTTACACAAACATTGTTTGTTTCTCTCTCAAGTGATATAAAGTTAGGATTATAACAAATATTTGTATATAACAGTACATTAACATCATTAGGGTATAAATATCTAAACACAAATGAAATAAACAGGTATTAGACACCAACATCATATTACAAGAAAAAGAGAAGAGGCAAACTTAGTGGCTTAATCAGATTTAAAGTGGAGTGGACATGGAGTGGACCTGCCAACAGCATTCTACATCCTTAAAATGTACAGCAACATTGTGATTGAAAAAAAACAACTAAAAAGGAGTCCTTGAGCTCTAGCGAACTGACTGTACTTAGACTAAGCCCTCATTCACACCTACTGTATACTTTAGGTGCAGTTAGGGATTCCTGCATCAGGAACTAGCGATTTTCTGCAGCAGGAATTCCTAATCTGCTGTTTACACTGATCGTCCATCCAGGGATAGTGATCTCTTCCTAATCCATATTCAATCTCTTCCTAATCCTGATACAATTACATGCAGTGTGCCAGCGTTCTGCCACTTTCAAGTGCAGCGGCTGCCACCCGATCATTAGCTTGAATGGGTGACAGCTGACAATTAGGGATTCCTGCTGCAGTAAATCGCATGTTCCTGCTGCAGGAATCCCTAAATGCACCTAAACATTAGTTATGAATGAAGACTGAAGGTGCAATTTAGGAGAATGATTTCTATATTCTGCTGCAGAGAGGGGGAAAGATTTTCTCAGTTTCCTCCCCACAAATGAACATTCAGACTGTACATTGCAACATTGTAGCGAGATGAAAGGCAGCCACGGGAGGCTGATCTGTGTGAGTCCATACAACCCAGAATAAAAAATACTGCACAGTCACCAGGATTTACCCATTTGTGACATGCAATGTAAAGATTTGAGTCCACTAAGCAGATGCATGCTCTGGAAGATACCGGGAAAAAAGATGTCTGTGGCCTTTTTGGGGGAAAAAGGTAAAGCCATTGTCAAGAGGAGTACTGTGAGCTCTTTGAGAAATCATTCTTCAATGTGTTACATTTAAATGTTACGTGTCATGCTTGCAAAACAATATATCTAATACTACTTCCACTTTATACTCAGAAATCGTTTTAAATACCGTATATACTCGAGTATAAGCCGTCCCGAATATAAGCCGAGGTACCTAATTTTACCACAAAAAACTGGGAAAAAGTATTGTAAGGTAAGTAAGAAGACACCTGACGCTGACTCGAGTATAAGCCGAGGGGGGCACTTTTCAGCCAAAAAAATGGGCTGAAAATCTCGGCTTATACTCGAGTATATACGGTATTATAAAGTATTACTGAAAACTGCACACTGCTAGGTTCCCCACTGAAATAATCATCAGTCCTATGGTCCTTGTTCATCCAAACTGACGGCTTTTAATCCCTGTTCTTTTCTTTAAACAGTTTCTGAAAAGCAATAACAGATCGCAAACGTTTTTTCTAGAAGGCGAAATAGACAATATAACTTATATTAACCCTGATGATGGGAGACTGTACGCAATAAAACCATTTAACTGGGCACAAAAACATGAACACAAATTGCAGGTAATACCAGATTTATGTCACCCCTTCTTTCTGACAAAATCACAACCATCCATTTTAAATGTTCTTTTTAAAAACATGTTTGAATTGACCAGATATTATCTCTTTTATGTTCAGAACAGTGTTGTATATGTATGCTAGATTAATATCAACTGCATTACTGAAAAAAACTGTGGTTTACGGAGCTAGAGAGCTGAAGCTGACATTACACACACAGCTGAATAAGTGACACATTCCCCTTCCTTCTTTCTTTGCTCTCTATGGCTCCATACAATAAGGAAAGAAAGAGAAGGAAATATTATGTGAAGGTTCTTGTTTACCCAGATTGTGCTATATTTTATAGAAGATAGTCACATTCAACTGAAGCAAGGAAGGAAGATGCCTGTGAATGACCTCAGTTTGCTTGTCTAAAGTGAATACGAATAATTAATTCTTGTCTTGATAGAAGATGAAAACAAAGGTTATTGTTGCCCCATATTGATCAATCAGATTCTTGTTTCATTTTTCCAGGAAATACAAGATTGAACCTTTTTGGTCATTATGAGCCACTATTACACTTCCGAAACGAAGAAATACACAAATGCTGGCACCCCAGACTCTAACAGGGTTATTCACAAAAGGGTGAAGAGTTTGGAGAAGGCAGGAGAAGTGAACAATCTAGGACAACATAGCTGATTTGGAAAAATTCTCCAATTCAGCTCACTTTCCAGTTCAGCTATGTTGTCCTAGATTGTTCCCTTCTCCTGCCTTCTCCAAACTCTTCACCCTTTTGTGAATAACACTGTAAGACTCTATGAGAAATAAGACTCCACCTTAAGTTTTTTTTTGAGAGCCCAAGGGGCCTGAATAAAAGTGGGGCCCTTGGTGTGATGGTTGTGTGCTGCTGGAACCAGCTGAAAGGAGAGTACTCAAAAAACTAAAGGGGGTTGGCTTACTATAGATGTACACCCTGTTTACTATTTTTACCT